CAATATTAGAAAACCTATCTTGTACGCACCTAACAAGTACCTAAACAAGTACCTAAACAAGAAGTACCTAAACACCATTAGAAAATTGTTGCGTTGCCTAACGGTAATTCCCCACTCGAGCATTCACTGTTGGCTTCTAATTAAGAGTGGTGTCCCCATACTGGAGGAGGGAGACAGTAAAAAAGCCTGCACACAATATGAGAGTAATAACCTTAGCAATGCCAATGACACCTAAGAAAAAAGCAAGTACAAGAATTATATCCTACTGGTGTACTACAATATAATTAAGAGAACAAAACAAAACCAACTTAAATATTTTCGAAAAGATCTATGAAAAACTTTTCATTTAGGGTTAAATGTGTTCAGAAAGACCATGCTAAATACTGTTACGCAGTCCTCTGCAGTAGCCTGCGGCTATTATAGGAAACGTACAGATAGAAAAAGAAGTGGAATGTTACTCATCGCCCTATAGTGTGCTGCGGTTGTCATAGGTAAAAGTACAAGTAAAAGAAGAGAGAATAGTTCCAGAAATGTCTGGAAATGTCATTACCCGTTAACCACATATTTTAATTACTATACGAGGCAAGAGAGAGATCCGACACGCCTAACGTAGGGCGCGGCCATTTTGAACCCTGTGACACAGTTTACAGCTAAAGAATCAGATCGCTCACTCTGCGTCAGCACTTTTGATCTCAATGTTTCAGTTTATACACTGTGCAACTCGGATAATACAATATATGACAACCGCCTATAATAAAAGAGCAGTCTTCTGCGTATCCTGAATTTGTATCCCTGGAGTGGATGTTATTTTGGAACTTTCAACTGGTCCGAGTGAGCTAACTGATTCTTTAGCAATAAACTGTGACTTCAAAAATAATATTCACTGACACTGACAGCAGAAAGCAAAATATCAGGTGCGTTTTAATCATCCGCTTCTGCTTCCGGAATTGTCGGTTTAGTCGTTTTAATCTGTCAGATTAAAACAAGAAAACCGACAATTCCTAAGCAGAAGCGGATGATTAAAACGCACCTATTAAAAATATTGCGCCAAGATGTAGGCAACACGTAATAAGGGTTCAAAATGGCGGAGTTTTCTATCTCCTTTTAAAAGACACTCAGAAAGCTGCGCAGTGCGACCATTCTCCGTATAGTAAAAGAAAATCAAAGTATGTGCCGTTAACAATATTCTAGATGACAGTTCGAGAAGGTTCGAGAGGGGTCAAGCAAGCTATATAAGGATGATCGTGACGTCAGTTTTCAGTTTTATGATAGACGTTACACGTTAGTGTTATCAGTTGCATTGTTATTGTTAAAGTTCAGTTGAAATAAATTGTGATACCAACAACCTGCGTAACAATACCAACATTAAAGTGGCCCAGATTAAATACCATCTGCTTAACTAAATTAAAGCAAAAACAAACTTTTTAAAGTGTTCTAGCAATAGCCACGTCATTTAAATTATTTGCCATATCTCTTGACGGATAACGAATTCCTCGCTAATGCCTTCCGTATGCCAAAAACCATACTACAGAGCAGACATGTCCACACATTTCTAAAACTCGTGCACCTGATTTGCAAAGACATGCCCAGCCAGTTATTGCGTTTACTCCAATTAGTTGGCTCTTATATTCAATAAAGCATTTTCTTTCGGTAGCAGCTTGAAACCTTGAAGGTATTGAGGCCCTTATTAAGAGTTATTACAGTTACCTACAACCGTTGCAGACTGCGCTTTACTTAATCCGGTTAAGCACTTGTAATCGCCGTAATCCATATTTTCATTGTCAAGATGGAATATCTTGTTTTTTTCTTCAAAAGCTACTGCGCGATCATTGAACAGATTAATTAAACATTCATTGTTACCGTGAGTAAGCTGCCTAGGAGTTGCCCGAAATCGCAACAGATTCTTTAGAAAAGTAACCATTCTCAGAATGTTCCGGGCATGATCGGTTCCCCAAGTTGCAAAATATCCGGTTTTGAATCCACAACTTGAGAACAGCTTCCCTTGGAATACGCTTTTCGTTATCAACAAGAACAACAGTAACAAGAAAATGTCACTTCTGACAATTACGAGGATGGAATGAAAAGTTTCCGGCCTAACATAGAACGCAACACAATAGTGACTGAATAAGAATTTATTTTTCTACATAGTCCCCTTGTAGGGTAATACATTTGACCCAACGAAGTGCAAGCGATTTATACCGTCACTGTAGTTTGATTTATTCAAATTTTCAAAATAGGCGTCTGTGGCTGCAAATACTTCTAAATCCGTGGAAAATTTTTTGCCAGCAAGAAATTTTTTTGGGTTTGGAAACAAATAAAAGTCTGACGGGGCTAGGTCTGGCAAATACGGAGGATGGTTTAACAGTTAAAAGCCTAGCTGATGAATTTCAGCCATTACAAGAACGGACTTGTGGCAAGGTGCATTGTCCTGATGATACAGAATTTTCTGTTTTGCCATACCCGGGCGTTTTTCGCTTATATTCTGCTTAAGCTGGTCCAGTAAGTCGCTGTAGTACTCGGAATTTATTGTTCTTCTATTTTCGAGATAATATATTGAGAGTATCCCTTTAGCATCTCAAAAGTCCGTTGCTATGACCTTTCCAGCAGACGGTACTGCCTTTGCCTTCTTTGGAACTGGTTAGTCCTTTGCCGTCCACTGTTTGGACTGTTGTTTAGTTTCAGGGGTATAATGATAAACCCATGTTTCATCAGCCGTAATAAATCTACGCAAAAAGTTCCCTGGATCACGACTAAACAGTGCCAAATTCTGCTCTGAAATGGTTAGCCGCGTGAGCTTCTGATCTGACGTGAGCAAACGCGGCACCCATCGGGCGGATAGCTTTCTCATTCCTAAAATTTCACACAAAATATAGTGATATACCCACAGCCTCAGCTACCTCTTCCAATTTTAATCTGCGATCTTTTAGAATTAGTTGGTGAACGGTTTGCACCATTTCTTCAGAAGTTGCCGTTTTTGTCCTGCCAGAACGCGGAGCATCATCAGTGCTAGTACGACCACGTTTAAAGTCCACTACCCAGGTTTTAACTGTGGTAAATGAAGGAGCAGATTCCCCTAGTGTAGCATCTAGTTCAGCTTTTATTTCCGTCGGCGATAATCTTTTGATATGGAAATATTTTATCACCGCTTTTATCTCGTTTTTTTCATCTTTTAAAAGTTGCGCACTCTATAAGCTTTTAAAATACCGAGGACACAAACTACTTGACGCACTTGACGAGCGTATACAGGAAAGCAAATCGGGCCTACTATAGGTTCATCCCAACCTCGCAGTCATAAAAATTAATAAAACGAAACGTTGCCACATTAAATTTATTGACTATACTCGTTTCTAAGCATTCCAAAGATTTAAATTTTTTGTCAGAGACCGCCCAAATTTCCCTTTTAAAAGCTTACCCCCCTTTCACTTTCTTTATTAAATGTATTCACTTTACAATCCATTTAGGTGTGCCTAAATATTAGGTAAATACTTCGAATCCAGTCGCTAAATAAATGACTTTGTGAGATATAAAGAATATCATTTTTTTCTACCTTCTTTTTCAATCCCTACTACTCACACATAGCTTTTAGTGATTCCTATAAATTCCTTACTGGATATAGTAAAGTAAAAGGTATCTATTCACTTTTGAATTTATAGACATTCAACATTTCCGAACAAGTGTAAATTAAAAATTTAAAAAAACCGACTTCAAAAACGTGCAGATGCCATCACCACATCTTAACCAAATTTATATGGGATCACCCCTGAGGTACCCCCTTACTAACAAAAAAAGAATCATATAAATCGGAAAAGGTGGTAAAGCATTATCGCTAAACATACATAAAAAATGAAGAGTTTGAGGATTTTCTCATGGACCCAATTTTTAGATTTTGACCAAATTTATATGGGACCACCTCTGAAGTACCCCCTTTCTAATAAAAAAAGAATCATATAAATCGGACAAGGTGGTAAAGCATTATCGCTAAACATACATCAAAAATGAAGAGTTTGAGGATTATCTCATGGACCCAATTATTAGATTTTGACTAAATTTATATATGACCACCCCTGAAGTACCCCCTTTCTAACAAAAAAAGAATCATATAAATCGGACAAAGTGGTAAAGCATTATCGCTAAACATACATCAAAAATGAAGAGTTTGAGGATTTTCTCATGGACCCAATTTTTAGATTTTGACCAAATTTATATGGGACCACCTCTGAAGTACCCCCTTTCTAACAAAAAAAGAATCATATAAATCGGACAAGGTGGTAAAGCATTATCGCTAAACATACATCAAAAATGAAGAGTTTGAGGATTTTCTCATGGACCCAATTATTAGATTTTGACTAAATTTATATGGGACCACCCCTGAAGTACCCCCTTTCTAACAAAAAAAGAATCATATAAATCGGACAAAGTGGTAAAGCATTATCGATAAACATACATCAAAAATGAAGAGTTTGAGGATTTTCTCATGGACCCAATTATTAGATTTTGACTAAATTTATATGGGACCACCCCTGAAGTACCCCCTTTCTAACAAAAAAAGAATCATATAAATCGGACAAAGTGGTAAAGCATTATCGCTAAACATACATCAAAAATGAAGAGTTTGAGGATTTTCTCATGGACCCAATTTTTAGATTTTGACCAAATTTATATGGGACCACCTCTGAAGTACCCCCTTTCTAACAAAAAAAGAATCATATAAATCGGACAAGGTGGTAAAGCATTATCGCTAAACATACATCAAAAATGAAGAGTTTGAGGATTTTCTCATGGACCCAATTATTAGATTTTGACTAAATTTATATGGGACCACCCCTGAAGTACCCCCTTTCTAACAAAAAAAGAATCATTGAAATCGGACACCGTGTTAAAGAATAATCGCTGAACATACATAAAAAAAAAAATATCGCGACGAATTGATAACCTCCTCCTTTTTTGAAGTCGGTTAAAAATAGAAACAATCTTTATAACAAATTTATATACCTACGAACCTTGTGATTTTTTATTTAATACATGATATCCAACTGAAGCTGCTCCCGCACTTTGTCCACTTATAGTAACTTTCGATGGGTCACCCCCAAAACTCGCTATATTTTGCTGTACCCATTTCAGTGCTAGATTCTGATCTTTAAGTCCAAGATTGGCAGGTACTACACCATCGTCCGTACTTAAGAACCCTACAAAAATAAAGTATAAGAAATAAGAAATATTGAATGCACGATAAGTGCCGAAAATTGTATAAAAAATAATATTTCTAGCTTAAGTGTGAAGTAATATTTTCAAGAGCTATATCTTCTATAAATTTGGAATTAAGTTATTTTGTTTGGCGTTAATAGTTTGGATTTACGGTAATCCAAGTTTTAAAATAAATATTTTCTTTTTTTGGAAAAAGAAAGAAACGAGTATTTTTGACCAAAATATTCCTAATATTTTAATTTTATTACCTAGAGGCCCAAGTCTATAGTTGACGGTAACAACTACTATTTTTTTATCAATAAAATAATGGGGTCCAAATGAATCAATAGCTCCCGACCAACCTACAAATCCTCCTCCATGTATCCAGACCAAAACGGAAAGTAATTCACCATCATTTTGATCCTACAAAAATTAAAAATTTATCACAATCAATAAAAAGAAATAACTAATAACTTTACCGCTGGATAATAAACATTCAAATGGAGACAATCTTCATTTTCTTTAGGAGCAGAATAATTCAGATTAAATTGATGACATATTTTTGAGTCTTCTAAGGTATTTAATACTCCTTCCCATTTTAATGGTGGCAAAGCTTCCTAAAAAAGAAACATTTTTTAAATAAGTTTATAAAATATATGCAAGGGTGTTTTTGATATACGAAACGATTCGAGATTAATATTATCACAAAATTAATAACAGACAGATGTTTGACGATGTAAATGAGGTTATTTGATTTTGAAGTTTGGATTATTTTAAAACTTTAGTTTAAAAAACGTAGTGGAAAACTTATCCAGCTAAGGCAGAAAAATTCTATCAAAAATTTTGAATTAAAATCTCGAAAATAAACCAGGTAACCTTTTTATTATGGATCTACCACCGATTATTATTTAACAGTCAGTATCCTTATAAATAAGTTAGTTTAAAATTTAACTAAGCTATCACCTGCGTCTTTGCACGCGTGAATCGTTTTTTTGAATTTAAAAAAATGCCTGACGGCCCAAAAAAGGAGCGATATGTTTTTTTTAATGTATTAGCTGTCGCACGCGTGGATTCGTGTTCTTAATATATATTTTTATTTATTTTTATTTATTTTTATTTATTTTTATTTATTTTTATTTATTTTTATTTATTTTTATTTATTTTTATTTATTTTTATTTATTTTTATTTATTTTTATTTATTTTTATTTATTTTTATTTATTTTTATTTATTTTTATTTATTTTTATTTATTTTTATTTATTTTTATTTATTTTTATTTATTTTTATTTATTTTTATTTATTTTTATTTATTTTTATTTATTTTTATTTATTTTTATTTATTTTTATTTATTTTTATTTATTTTTATTTATTTTTATTTATTTTTATTTATTTTTATTTATTTTTATTTATTTTTATTTATTTTTATTTATTTTTATTTATTTTTATTTATTTTTATTTATTTTTATTTATTTTTATTTATTTTTATTTATTTTTATTTATTTTTATTTATTTTTATTTATTTTTATTTATTTTTATTTATTTTTATTTATTTTTATTTATTTTTATCTATTTTTTTATTTTTATTTATTTTTATTTATTTTTATTTATTTTTATTTATTTTTATTTATTTTTATTTATTTTTTTTTATTTTTTTTTATTTATTTTTATTTATTTTTATTTATTTTTATTTATTTTTATTTATTTTTATTTATTTTTATTTATTTTTATTTATTTTTATTTATTTTTATTTATTTTTATTTATTTTTATTTATTTTTATTTATTTTTATTTATTTTTATTTATTTTTATTTATTTTTATTTATTTTTATTTATTTTTATTTATTTTTATTTATTTTTATTTATTTTTATTTATTTTTATTTATTTTTATTTATTTTTATTTATTTTTATTTATTTTTATTTATTTTTATTTATTTTTATTTATTTTTATTTATTTTTATTTATTTTTATTTATTTTTATTTATTTTTATTTATTTTTATTTATTTTTATTTATTTTTATTTATTTTTATTTATTTTTATTTATTTTTTTTTATTTTTATTTATTTTTATTTATTTTTATTTATTTTTATTTATTTTTATTTATTTTTATTTATTTTTATTTATTTTTATTTATTTTTATTTATTTTTATTTATTTTTATTTATTTTTATTTATTTTTATTTATTTTTATTTATTTTTATTTATTTTTATTTATTTTTATTTATTTTTATTTATTTTTATTTATTTTTATTTATTTTTATTTATTTTTATTTATTTTTATTTATTTTTATTTATTTTTATTTATTTTTATTTATTTTTATTTATTTTTATTTATTTTTATTTATTTTTATTTATTTCTATTTATTTTTATTCATTTTTATTTATTTATTTCTATTTGTTTCTATTTATTTTTATTTAAATTTTTATTTTAATTCAGCCCTTTGCTCAGTTGCTGGTCGCATAGAGAGATCCCTGAACAATAAAGAGCCTCTATGAGGTGTTTTTATAAACTTAGAATATGGTTTTAACAAAACCACATTTCTTGTGATAGTACACTCGCTAACTAACAGAACTGTTTCACAGTTAGTCAGTGGATCAATACCGGAGATTATCTCAAAGCGTGCAGTAAACATAAGTATAGAGTATGTGCGTACAAAAACTTTGGTTGCGAAAGGCGTCAAAAAAATATGTATTGCTTTGTATTGCTTATGAAAAATGCTGCCGAACCGTGAGTCACGCCCAGAGTCGCTGGCCCAGAGTCGTTACATGGACTTATCGGTCATCATAAAAGCTTATTCTCTAACGAACGTTTTTGAAAGCGCTTACCGCGTCCTTCTAGAAACACGACAAATAACTCACTCGGACTAATTGGATGTTCCAAAATAACATCCACTCCAGGGATACAAATTCAGGATGCGCAGAAGACTGCTGTTTGAATATAAGCGGTTGTCATATATTGTATTAGGCATTCCAAACAAATGAACTGCCAGTGGGAAGATTTGATATATCCAAGGGTTGCGACATACGATGTATTCTGTTTACAATACGTAAAATACTGAATAATGGATTACATTTAAATATTTTATGTTAAACACAATAAAAATAAGATACATTTTTTTATAAATTGGCAGGCTCTGTGACTATTATTTCTAATAAAAAAAACGTTCAAGATGCAAGACTATGTCTCTACCCCCTTAGATATACCAGACCTTCTCACTGACAGCTATTGTTTGACAGGTCGTTGGAATGCTTAATTGGTAATAGTAAGAGAGCCCACTGCAAATTACGACCGCCATCTGATTTTTTTTTATAAAATATTTTTTTTTAAACACTTTGCTCAGGATTGGGATTGTCACAGGTGCCATTCGGTAAAGTACAATGTTTTTACAAGCTTTTGGGGTATATTTTATTTCATTATCAGATGGCGGTAAAAATTTACAGTAGGCCCTTGGGCTATTATGATTTGATTCTGTATGCGCCAGGGATACAAATCCGAGTTGCGCAATGTATAAACTGGAACATTGAGATCAAAAGTGCTGACCCAAAGTGAGCGAACTGATTCTTTAGCTATAAACTGTGGCTTAAGTTTAAAATTTAATGTTTGATGTTTAAAATAAATTAAATTAAATAAAAATATATATTAAAAACACGATTCCACGCGTGCGAAGCTGCGGGCAACAGCTAGTACATAATAATATTAATAATAATAATAATAATAATAATAATAATAATAATAATAATAATAATAATAATAATAATAATAATAATAATAATAATAATAATAATAATAATAATAATAATAATAATAATAATAATAATAATAATAATAATAATAATAATAATAATAATAATAATAATAATAATAATAATAATAATAATAATAATAATAATAATAATAATAATAATAATAATAATAATAATAATAATAATAATAATAATAATAATAATAATAATAATAATAATAATAATAATAATAATAATAATAATAATAATAATAATAATAATAATAATAATAATAATAATAATAATAATAATAATAATAATAATAATAATAATAATAATAATAATAATAATAATAATAATAATAATAATAATAATAATAATAATAATAATAATAATAATAATAATAATAATAAATAATAATAATAATAATAATAATAATAATAATAATAATAATAATAATAATAATAATAATAATAATAATAATAATAATAATAATAATAATAATAATAATAATAATAATAATAATAATAATAATAATAATAATAATAATAATAATAATAATAATAATAATAATAATAATAATAATAATAATAATAATAATAATAATAATAATAATAATAATAATAATAATAATAATAATAATAATAATAATAATAATAATAATAATAATAATAATAATAATAATAATAATAATAATAATAATAATAATAATAATAATAATAATAATAATAATAATAATAATAATAATAATAATAATAATAATAATAATAATAATAATAATAATAATAATAATAATAATAATAATAATAATAATAATAATAATAATAATAATAATAATAATAATAATAATAATAATAATAATAATAATAATAATAATAATAATAATAATAATAATAATAATAATAATAATAATAATAATAATAATAATAATAATAATAATAATAATAATAATAATAATAATAATAATAATAATAATAATAATAATAATAATAATAATAATAATAATAATAATAATAATAATAATAATAATAATAATAATAATAATAATAATAATAATAATAATAATAATAATAATAATAATAATAATAATAATAATAATAATAATAATAATAATAATAATAATAATAATAATAATAATAATAATAATAATAATAATAATAATAATAATAATAATAATAATAATAATAATAATAATAATAATAATAATAATAATAATAATAATAATAATAATAATAATAATAATAATAATAATAATAATAATAATAATAATAATAATAATAATAATAATAATAATAATAATAATAATAATAATAATAATAATAATAATAATAATAATAATAATAATAATAATAATAATAATAATAATAATAATAATAATAATAATAATAATAATAATAATAATAATAATAATAATAATAATAATAATAATAATAATAATAATAATAATAATAATAATAATAATAATAATAATAATAATAATAATAATAATAATAATAATAATAATAATAATAATAATAATAATAATAATAATAATAATAATAATAATAATAATAATAATAATAATAATAATAATAATAATAATAATAATAATAATAATAATAATAATAATAATAATAATAATAATAATAATAATAATAATAATAATAATAATAATAATAATAATAATAATAATAATAATAATAATAATAATAATAATAATAATAATAATAATAATAATAATAATAATAATAATAATAATAATAATAATAATAATAATAATAATAATAATAATAATAATAATAATAATAATAATAATAATAATAATAATAATAATAATAATAATAATAATAATAATAATAATAATAATAATAATAATAATAATAATAATAATAATAATAATAGTATAGTATAGTATAG